CCTTCATCGCCGATCTTGTCACTGGTCTTGGCACTTGCCAAATCAAGACTGGTGCCCCCTGCCGTACTGAGCGTCTTTGCAAGTACAATCAGCTTATGCGTATTGAGGAGGAGCTCGGTGATAAGGCCACCTATGCTGCGGGCCGCAATTTCCCTCGTTGCCAGTAAATAACATTCATTTGTTACTGTCGTTATTACTACTGCGGTGACGAGTTGGTAGGATGTAGTAGATCACGATGCTGCTTTATTCAGCGGTAGTCCAATACTTTTCCTTCCTCGTTACGACTGTTCTACACAACAATAATCAACATAGTGGATTTCGTGTGATAACGAAGACCGTTCAAGGATTGTGTTACCAGTAGATATTATATAATCATGCGAGGAATTCTTCGGAACTTCTCTTCCTACGGACGCCTCGTTTGAAGTGCGCCATTTCATACACAGATATACTGCAGCAGTGGAACGGTCTCACACTCCGTTCCAATGAGAGCCCTTCAGTGTCTCTCCCATTAATGGTATGTCACAATGAAATTTTGATGCCATACTCCACCAATGATTCGTGTGGTAGCGGCAGGTAGTCTTCGAGATACACTTTGGTCTAAGTCAGTCTATTGCTCCCTTGGATTCAAGGGCCGTATCATAAACCATGTTCCTATCCTCTAGCACCTAGCCCAAATATTTCAGCATTATTGTTTCGGACGATTTGATAAGATAGTGGTGACGTTCCTGTCGCTGATTAAGCCGCTGAAATCAGCCGACTATCGAACGAAAGACTGTGAACAGACTGGACGAGAAACTATAAACTCTCCAATGCTGATAATTCGAATCGATCACTCAGTGCTGTTGATGACACAACCGACAGAAGAGTTCTCTTGGCCGTAGATGCTGAAAAGGGACAATAGCAAATGCCAGTTGGATTGACGGCTGACCTTCCGCTGCCGACTTGAAGTTGTATAAAACGCTTAAGTTCGCCAGAGTATCCATCGTGGCGGTTTCTTTCCGAACAGTCTCCTCGAGGATCTGTTGCATAATGTGCAATGGCGATTCAGCATTGTAACCTCACCGTAGTGGCAGTGGCTATATTGCCGAGATAAAACTGTAGACATGCCTCCATATTAGGCGACGGTAGGAGGCTGCTGGTCCGGAGGGATTCGAGGGCTGTCGGGAAACTGAGAGGCCACTGGTAGAAATCGATGAGGACTGAGCAAAGCTACTCCTCTTCAGCGAGCGCTATCAACGCCTTCACACGAGCTGCTGCTTCGGCCGATCGGATTTCCGCGAGAACATCCTCTGCTTCAGGGAGGGCTACGCCAAATTAATCATCACATCACGCAGTGCAGATTACCCACCTCCAATTCGCAACAGCAGACCGGCGAGCTCCACCAAGAGCCCATCATGGTCCTCATTTGTCGGCAACAAACACGAGCGGTATAGTCGAATTACCTGCGAGAAGCTCCACCAAGCAGCGCAGTGAAAACAGACTTCATCCAAGTCGCCCAACTCTGCCATCAGCACGGCCTCGGACTTGAGAACGACCATCTCCTGCCACGATGATGCCGTAGGGATTCTCCGAAGCTGCTCAGCCGCCTCAGTGAGAGCCTCTACGCTCGGCTGTGTAGCGCTACAACATGGTAATAGAGAGGAGTACCTAATACAGACGCAGGTGATGACGCAGCAGATTGGAGGAAGTTTCGCTGCGCTGCGCTTTCGAATTCGCCCACCAGACGAGTCTGGAGTTTAAGGTGGTCGTGAAACATCATCGGCAGGAGAGCCCAACTGGTTTCATTTGAATCTCCTTTTACGACTAACGCCGCCCTTCCATTACAAAGACATCCAGAATGAGCCAACATCCTCATCAGCGACCACCACCATGTCCTGTTTCCCAACAAGCAGCTCCTCTTCCGCCTACCATCACTATTGACCCACAGCCACACCTACGACTTACTCGCGACCACTCCGATAACATCATCAACGAATACACCTTCACTGCCCTCCACAGATGCACTTCTTTGCTGGCTGGCGAATCCTAAAACCAATCCCGACGTCCAAGCCTCCCCATTCCTAAACATGTTACCTTCAAGCTCGTCTCCGCCATTGCGACCACCGTTTTGAACCTCCCTTGGCTCAACGCCACCGCAGCACCTTCCAACGTAGCGGACGGCATTTCTTGTGAAACTCCTCCGAGATCAGCCCTGAAACATTTACTGGCCACCCTTCTCACTCGATGTTAGCAATGTTTATCGATCAGTTCATCCTACTATGGGCAGGATGAGAAGACCCTATCAGTAAGTTACTCCTCAACTATGACCATGATGACGTATATGTTGAGTTCATAGCGCCACTATCGACTCCGGGTGTATTACCCTCCCATGAACTCCTCCACATTGCGATACGTCCGAGTAGCGGCGGACGGCCGACCTCCTGCTGAGCTCCCTGGCGACTCATCGTGGAGAGATGACGTGCCACAAGAAGGCGGCATCACCTGATCTCGGCAAGGAGTGGTATGATTATCCAAAGCCCGTCTCTGCACCAACATCTGAGCCTCCCGACGACGCCAGCTGGAATGGATTCTTCAGAGGCTCCCGACCACCTCCACCACTGCGCTGCCCTGCAATTGATAATCGATCCACAGACATTCTACAATGACAACACCGCCTCGCAGTTCTCCTGCCCGTCTCAATTGACTTATGCCAACTACCAACTCAAAGCGGAAAGGACGTCCATTTGATAATAGTATCGAGGCCGGATGGGAGAGCGCCGTGGACAACTTCTACTGGGCAGAACCATCGCGAGCCGTCACCAAGTATAGCAAAGAATGCAACAATATTCATATAATACAAAAGGACTACAACCACTATCGAGAAGGAGATGATGAAGGAGAGCTAGGTATGATACACCCGCATCGAGACAAGTAGTAACGAATTTTTGGACGGCGGAGCGAAGCAAATACTACGTTAGGATGATTATCAATCCAAAGAAATCATCCAACACACACAATCATGCCAGAATTCGATATTCATACCACACTCATCAGAACACCTCTCAAAACAGATCGAGCCCCTGCCTAGGTCATCAGCTCTATCACCAAACTATCAGAATCTTGATCTCTTGCAATTCCTCAACGCTCCACCACTTCCCTTCGAAACTGCTCGTGATGAAGGATATTCAGACGGCGGCGAATTCGTCCTGGCCGCTTTTCGACTAGGAGACTCCGGTAGGTCCAAATCAAGTTGGGCTAATCTCACCTGAACTCGTAATCAAAACCAACAGCCACAACATCTACTCACCATGGTCTCCCACGTAAGCTGTAGAAAGCCCCCAGACTGCCCGTTACCAGAAAAGAGATTACTCTCCCAGAACGTAGTAGAGCCCGGAGCAGGAAGGGCCAGCACTTTGAAGTCCTTCGAGTCGAACTCAAGCGGTTGGCATTCCGCGAGTTCGTCTCCACTCGACGATGCTCTTGTCGACGTACTACTACTGCTAGAATTGCTGTTGTGGTCACCCGTAAGTGAGGACACCATCGTCACCGCAAATACCCGAACCTAAGCAGCTCATGTCCGAGCAATTTCAAGTGTATACCGCCACTAACCATTCGCGAGCCTATGCCGAGGCGTCGTCGCTGAGGATCAACCCACGTGTCTCGGATCATGATCTCACTGGGGGAGTTGCTACTAAACCTACCGCCGAACGAAATGTTCCGAGCCACCCAGAATCGACAAGCACCGACCACATGAATCCAGACACTCGCATGTCCTTAGTCATCGAGACACTGCTGCCGTCGAATATGACTACCACCCTATGGTCGGGGTCCGACCGAGAGCCCTCATCTCGGCGCATCATGGTCAACATTCTCGTCCCTACTCCCACACACCTCCAACGAGGAGCACCATCACCGACGCTTACATTTCCTCAGACCATCATTCGAGCCCAGTCGCAACGAGACAAGTGTATGGGCATCGACGTGCCACGACAACACTCTAGCGTGGACAGAACGCAGCCGAACCGAACCGAGGACCTGAGCATACAAGATGATGCGGCCTAGGATGGAGCCACTCCCTACCTCAGACACGCCCTTGGCAGGCTCGTGAGAGACACCCCCACGAGCACTGCTGCTACCAGTCGCCTTCCGTTTAGCTCCCCGACTGGATACACTTCGGGCCGACTTCCGCTCGCTGGCCTTGGGGGTCTGCGGGGAATCCTCCTCCGAGCTCGATGCAGCAGTGGTTGGAGTAGTCGATATTCTCATATGATGACAAGGTGTGTACTACACATGAACATAATAGTCGACATAAACACCACACTCGAGAATAGCAGCAGCAATACAGGCAGGCGATTATCTCTGCTGGAATGCAACTCATACGTCAAATATACATGCGTCCTAACGATGAGCTCCGGGAGGAGATTTATATTACACCAGAGCCGATACTCAGGAAGGACCAACACTATACAAATACGACAACTCTCTCAAGCTCGACTTTGTATCAGTCGTATCTGCTTTGGGAGTAACCACTTCGACCACTACCCCTCCCCCCAACCTACGAGATCCTCCCGGTCCAGTTTAAGACAGCCCGGTAAGGCTGGATCTCGAACAAAGCCAAGAGATGCCCAGAAAGTCGATGACCCTTGCAACGGGTACGCAAGTAACTTCTCTAGAGGTAGTTGCTCTGGTTTGGACAGAAGCCCAGGACCATCTACACTAGTACTGCGACGCCGTGGTCGTCGTCGAGGCACCGGCAGTGCCGGAGAGCCCACCAAGAACACTACGAGATGAAGGACCTGGTGAAAAGAGTGCACAGCGCTCGGAGTAGGCGGCGCCAGCTTGCCATGTCCGATGCGAGGCCCTGCCGCCTTCGTCGAGGGGACACCCACGTGTCTCTAATTATAGCCTCCCTTGAGAATTCAGAGAGAACCTATAAATA